TTGCTATTTCTCCCACACAAATGACTCCCTTTTAGCACTATATTAATAAAAACAGTGATATTAAAAAAATTGAAATGAATTTTATCAATTAAAATAGCAGCTAATAATTCTGTGGCTGTCTTCATCCTTAATGAACTTCAGCTTGGCAACTTTAAGTTACTCAGACCAAACTGATAACCCCCTTCAACATCACATGTTGGAAATCCTACTAAGCACTTTTTATAGTTAAGTGCAGTCATTATGGCTTTCAACAGCTGATTTATTCACTCCAATGTGCTACCTGGATTCAATTCTCACTCTGAATAGTTTCCAATCTATTACACTAATCTCTATTATTGTGGTGGTTGTCTTTGGGGAAAAGATTACCGTTATTCTGAATAGCCAAAATTTCTACCAAGCTCATTATGCCTTTTAAATAATGTCTACCATTTGATCCAGCAATTCCACTACTGGACATCTACCCAAAAGATCAAAAGTCACTTTATGAAAAAGACATCTGCACTGGAATGTTTATAGCAGCACAATTCACAATTGCAAAGCTGTGGAAACAACCCAAGTGTCCATCAATACACGAGTGGATTAATAAAATGTGGTGTATATGTATACCACGGAGTACTATTCAGCTTTAAGAAACAATGGTGATATAGCACCTCTTGTATATTCCTGGATACAGCTGGAACCCATTCTACTAAGTGAAGTATCTCAAGAATGGAAAAACAAGCACCACATGTACTCACCAGCAAATTGGTATTAACCGATCAACACCTAATAAGAGAATTATTACATAAATGTGAATGTAAGTTAACTTCTCTATGAGGTTGAAAAAACAAAACCTGGAAATATGCCTTATACAGTAGATAACAACTAGAATGACACATATACAACTGTATTAACTCCCTAAAAAAAAAAAAAATAGATGACACATAGAGTTAAAAATAAAAGTATGGCCAAAGATCGACCAGGCAATTAAGCAGAGAAAGCAAGAGTGGCAACAGTAAATAATATCAAAGTAGAATTCTAGGTAAAAAGCATTGACTGTGTCACATATGCAGATATTTTATAATAATAAAAAGGTTAGTCCATAAAAAGTTCATACACTTGTAAATAATCTAATTAACATAGCAGTAAAAATAATGAAGCAAAAATTGCTAGCAAACACAGACATGCTCTATTAGAAGATAAATAAAATGAGAAAATGTTAACATTGTCTCTTTCAGAAGCAGAATAAGAAGCCCAACTAAAGCTATAGATCAAATGACACCATTAAATAATCTTACTTAATTTTTAAATAATAAAATCTTTTAATTTAGAACAGAGATCACATTCTTTCAAATGTTTCACAAAGCTTTAACAAAACCAATCATTGATTAAGCTACAAAGAAATTCTGACTTCCATAAAGGCTGTATTCCTGGACAACATAAAACAAAAATTTAGCATCAAAATATAAAATAGCCACACACACACACACACACACATCCCCCTTATCACTGATAAGTCAAGCACTTATAAATGGGTAAAAGGTGAAAGATTTATATGATCTGAAAAGAACCAGAGCATTGCACTTATAAGATGGGTTCGAGGTTAAAGTAAAAAATTGCATTAGCATTGAAAAATAAAAACAGTAACTGGTTCTTAGAACAAACAAACTGAAACCTCTAGGAAGTCTGATTAAGGAGAAAATAAATACACAACACTAGGAATAAGAAAGAAGATATAATCACAAATAGTAAGGAGATTTTAAAACTAATGATTACTCTTCTATATCAATTAAATTTGAAAATCAAGGTGAAATGAATGATTTCTGAGGAAAATACAAATTACAAAATTTGACTCAAGAAGTGGTAGAAAACCCTCCTATACAATAACTACAAAAAGAATTAAAAGGGCAATCCATGATTTATCCCCAAAAGATAAAGACCAAATAGTTTTAATAATAAGATCTTATAAATTATAAGGATATTCTCAATAAATGTTTTTAAAATATCCAGAGTATTAAAAAGATGGCAGTACATTTTTCTAATACTTTCCAAGAGAACAAAACTCTGACACCAAAAACAAATTAAGATAACCAAGAAAAAAATCATAGAGCATATAATTATGAACATAGATATAAAATTTTCTAATCAAATACTAGCTCGAGCTTATCAACTATAAAATTGTATCAGAATAATATTATCAACCATGATCATTGGTTTTTACTTGGGGAATTACTACTACTTTCACATAGGAAAATATCTTACATCTAGTCAACACAAATTGTATTTAGTGTTCAAACTCTATAAGCATTCCCTTTAAAATCAAGAATAAGGAAGGAACATGCAAACACTGCTATATTGCTAGAGATCCTCAGCTATTGTATAAACAGAAAAAAGCTACAGACATAACTTAGAAGAACACTATTGGTTTGCAGATCATATGACCACGTGTATAGGAAATCCAGGATAATCAAATGAAAACTAAACCAATAGCAAAAAAGATTTCTTTCACAAGTGATCAAAAAAATATCTAGGAATATCTAAGACTAGAGAAATTAAAACCACAAATTATATTTAAGGACACAAAAGATTTGAATGAAAATTGATAAATGCACCCATTCCAAGATTTCCATTCTCCCCAAATTTAATAATTAATTTCAATGCAATCAAAATATAAACCCATGAAGAATTTTCCCCATTTTAGAACTTGAAGACAGGCTAATTTCTTTTTCTTTCTTTCTTTTTTTTTTTTTTTTCCCTTTTAAATAGATGGGGTGTCTCACTATGTTGCCCAGGCTGGAGTACAGTGGCTAGCCACAGGCACGATCACAGCACACCATACAGCCCCAAACTCTTGGGAGCAAGTGATCCTCCTGCCTCAGCCTCCCAAGTAGCTGGGATTTTGAAGTAAACAGAAAAGCTCTTTCTTTTTGAGAAAGTAGAATAATGAAAGCATACTGGCTTAAGAGGCATCTAAACATACCATTAAGTTTCTGGTAGACAGACAAACAGACCAAAGCAACAAAATAGGTACAGTAGTTGAGTAACAGATCTGGACTCATATCTATGTTTAGAATATGACATAGCTGGCACATCAAATCAATAGGAAAAAATGCAAAATGTATACCCAAAACACTGTGTTGACATCCACAATATAAAATAATTATAATTCAGTTAAAAAAGACAACAACTAGTTAAAACAAAAACAAACAAAAAAACCAAGCTAATTCACAGAAGGAACCTGAATGTCCCATAAACATGAAAAGTTACTCAACCTGAACCAAAAATCAAAAAATACAAAATTATACAGGCTTGCAATGAAGCACCCAGCTGTTTTTTTTTTTTCTTGTTTTTTTGGTAGAGACGGGTCTCGCTCTTGGTCAGGCTAGTCTCCTGAGCTCAAGCAATTTCCACCTCGGCTCCCACAGTGCTAGGATTACAGGCGTGAGCTCCTGCACCAGCTCAAATAAATACCAAATTAAACAATATCTAGTGCTATTAACAGCATGGGAAAATCAGCCTGTCATAGCCAATTATTTGGTGCAAGAATTGTTTTGGTATAATTAAGTATATAAGGATATATAATTTTTACACACCACACACACACACACACACTTTTTTTGGCAACAATTTGTAAAAGCAACATAATAGTATCTCTGCAAGAAGGCTGTTCAGTGTGGGGGAGTAACAGAATGGGAACTATTCCAATGTCCATCAATGGAACAATGGTTAAATAAATGTAGGATTTACATACTTCAAAGAAGGGATGTGTGTAAATGACAACCCACTAAGGCACAGAAAGAAAATTTTACATTTTATCTCATCCTTTAAATGTCTTGTGCATGTTTCAAAATGTCCTAAATATGTACCAACAAAGGTACTTTTAAATGATTTAAAAATAGGTAAATATACATACACACATTAGTAGTACACGCTCAAGTTATTTTTTTACTGATGGAATGTACAATCAAAAAACTTTATAGTTATGAAATATTGTATACTACAAAATTAGTAATTTATTAAAAATGTAAATATACTATAAAAATTCTCCTATATGCATCGATATGAAAAGATAATGAAAATACATGGCTAAAGAAAAACATAATTTCATTTAAAAATACATTAATAATAATTTATGTAATATATGGAGAAGAAAACACTGATGGATGTGCACCAACTGCTGTTGTCTTTCAGAGTCAGGATCATAGGGCGTGACTCCTTTCTGTTTCATGTACTTTTGCAACTAACTTATATGGTCAGAAGAAAAACTGCTTCAAAAGACTCAAAGTTCTCAAAACTGCTGGAGGGCCATATAAAGGATGCTCATCAGTTTAATTGATAATAATAAAAAATTAGAACATATAAATTTCTACTAATAAAGGATTATATAATAATGTTATACATAGTAGTGATGTATATAATATTACATACATATATGTATCTATAGAATGGAATAAGATCATCATTAAAAGCTGAGTTTTGAAGAACATGGGTAAAACACAAAAGGCACCTCAGTATGATACTAAATTTGTAAAGACAAAAAAAAAAAAAGAAAAAAAACTGGAAGAAATATGTACAATAAAATGGTAACAATAGTTATATCTAAGTCAATGCCAATAAAAGCTACCTACACTAATACCTACACTTTAAAAATCTTTCCACCTTCAAAAACTCAGTAAAATAGCAATCATATGTCTCTCCTAGATAATGAATGTTACACCAACCATATTTGCATGTCTAGACTCTTCAATGAAATTATAAACTCAGTGATGGGCAGGATTATTTCTTCTTTTTTTCTTTTAAACCTTATGAGAATATCTCATAGTCAGTAAAACTATGTCACTACTTGAATTATTTTTATTAATTCAAGTTTTACATGAAACTGAGTATAAATGATACTTTCAAACTGCCTAAAGTTCAGCTAAAAGTATCTACCTTGTTTTGTTTGTAAAGAAATGCCTTTAATTTGATTAATTTAATTTGAATTTGAAAATTTAATTTGAAAATTTTCTACAGAAACCTACCCAGAGTCATTGCTCCCACAACAAAGCCTTGGGCTGCCACGCGCATGTGTATCAGGTGAACGGACATTTTAGTATTTCCCCTGCTCTTCAATTTGTATAATCCATATGCAACAATTGCTGCAAAACCTGCCATTCCTGTAAAACAAAGTCACAAGTATGTCAGATGCATGGAGGGGGGGACACCAAGATGATTTTACCATTGTCAACCCAAATAAATGACTAAGGCAAAAATCTCAATCAATGGAGGTTTATTAAGCCAAGATTTTGAGGACACGCCAAAGAAAAACGCAAACACAAACAAGCTGTGGCTACTTTTCCAAAGGGGAGGTTGGAACCTTTAGCATTTTAAAGGCATACAGAGGTAAGGAAAAAGGCAGGAGGAAGGAGGACTGATGAAGTAGTGGCTGCATTCTTGTGAGGTATAAGAAATCTACATTTTACATAAAATAAGGGAGTGAAGGAAGTATTGATTAAGTAGATGTCCCTAGTTAGGTGGAAGAATGTCTGATTTTGTCTTGTCTCCAGTTCTGTTACCTGTAAGATAAACTTGTAATTCATTGTTAGTGTGGAATGGGACAGGCTTTAGTTTTAGGTGCTAGATATAGGTACAATTTGCATATCCTTGCTTATGGGAGGTTAGTGAGAAATTACCTTAATGAATGGTCTGTGGTGCCTGAGGTTGTGATTTTCTGTTTATAACATCAATCAATGTACTTTCTATTATTTTTATAAGAATGTTTTTATCATATCCACAAAAAGACTTGTGCACAAATGTTCACAGCAGTTTTATTCATAATATAACATTGTAAACAACCTAAATGGCACAGTGAATAGATGATACATTTATCCAACGGAATACTACCCAGCAATTAAAAGGAACAAACTGTTTATACACACAACCACATGAATGAATCTCAAAAGACATTATGCTAAGCCAAAGAAGACAGATACATAAGAAAATGTATTATATGACCCCATTTATATGCAATTCCAGAACAAGTTAATCTGTAGTGGAATAAAGCATGTTAGCAGTTGCTTACATGAGGAAGGAGGATGGGTGGGGATGTGGGGACGGTATTGTCTGTAAAGGAGAGTCAAGATATTTTCTGGAGGTCATGGAAATGTTCTATAAGTTGATTAAAATGGTGGTTGCATGGTTGTAAAAAAGAAAAGAATATTTTATCAGACGATTAATTAGCTAACAGAGTTTTTCATTTTTTTCCAGTAAGAACTAAAAATCTTTAAGCTAATAGCAGATCCAGAAAGTCAGGATTATCTTTAAAATTGTGCGTTTGTGGAACCAGCAGACGAATTAAGAGTATAATTGTTACAACAAAACAAATGTGTTAGAAGTTTTAGCTGGAGTTGGGGAATGAATTTATAACTCTTCCTCTCTGTCCTACTTCCCTCCCTGAAAGGAACCAATATAGCAGAGATAATATATCACTGAGAAACAGACAGATCTCACCTATATACTTCAAACTTTGAGATACTGTACTGGAAACACTGTAAGTAAAGCATTCCATAGCAGAAAGCAACAGAGCAATGTTAGAGTTAAAATTATGACCCTAGAATTCTATACAGAACCAAGCCCTCATTTGTTTTGAGGACAAAGCATTTAGGATGTTTTCAAAGTATGCTAGCATGTACTTACACAAAAATCTAAAGGAGGTAATACAGTCAAATGTAAACAGTCAATGAAAATGGACAGTTCAAAAAATAAATACACAGTGGGTGAGATATAATGGTGAGCAAAAAAGGTAGTAAAATTTATACTGGTTCCTTGAAAATGATTGCATATAATGTATAAAACTTAATAAAAATTAATAATATTGAATTGAGGCTATGCTTATTACCACAAAACATGCATGCTAAGGGTCTTACCTTGAGTTAGGGAATTAATTTATATTCACTTTAATACTTGAAATATATGAAAAAAATATATCCTGATTAAAAATGTAAAGATAATCACAAGCAGTAAAGGAATAGTTGCAGAACTTCCAAATTGTTAGAAAACATTTTAAAATAATAATAAAAGGAAACAACAAGTGTAACAAACAAAAAACATAAAGTAATAGAACTAAAACTAAGAGAATTATTACAATAAATGTGAATATAAGTTAACTTTCTCTATGAGGTTGAAAAAACAAAACCTGGAAATATGCCTTGTACAGTAGATACAACTAGAATGACACCATAGAGTTAAAAATAAAAGTATGGGCAAAGATAAGACCAGGCAATTAAGCAAGAGAAAGCAAGAGTGGCAACAGTAAATAATATCAAAGTAGAATTCTAGGTAAAAAGCATTGACTGTGTCACATATGCAGATATTTTATAATAATAAAAAGGTTAGTCCATAAAAAAGTCATACACTTGTAAATAATCTAATTAACATAGCAGTAAAATAAATGAAGCAAAAATTGCTAGCAACACAAGACATGCTCTATTAGAAGATAAATAAAATGAGAAAATGTTAACATTGTCTCTTTCAGAAAGCAGAATAAGAAGCCCCAAACTAAAGCTATAGAATCAAATGACACCATTAAATAATCTTACTTAATTTTTTTAAATAAATAAAATCTTTTAATTTAGAACAGAGATCACACATTCTTTCAAATGTTTACAAAGCTTTAACAAAACCAATCATTGATTAAGCTACAAAGAAAATTCTGACTTCCATAAAGGCTGTATTCCTGGACAACATAAAACTAAAATTTAGCAATCAAGATATAAAATAGCCACACACACACACACACACACACACACACACCCCTTATCACTGATAAGTTAAGCACTTATAAATGGGTAAAAGGTGAAAGATTTATATGATCTGAAAAGAAACCAGAGCATTGCACTTATAAATGGGTTTCGAGGTTAAAGTAAAAAATTGCATTAGCATTGAAAAATAAAAACAGTACTGGTTCTTAGAACAAACAAAACTGAAATCTCTAGGAAGTCTGATTAAGGAGAAAATAAATACACAACACTAGGAATAAGAAAGAGGATATAATCACAAATAGTAAGGAGATTTTAAAAACTAATGATTACTCTTCTATATCAATTAAATTTGAAAATCAAGGTGAAATGAATGATTTCTGAGGAAAATACAAATTACAAAATTTGACTCAAGAAGTGGTAGAAAACCCTCCTATACCAATAACTACAAAAAGAATTAAAAGGGCAATCCATGATTTATCCCCAAAAGATAAAGACCCAAATAGTTTTAATAATAAGATCTTATAAATTATAAGGATATTCTCAATAAATGTTATTTAAAATATTCCAGAGTATTAAAAAGATGGCAGTACATTTTTCTAATACTTTTCCCAAGAGAACAAAACTCTGACACCAAAACAAAATTAAGATAACACAAGAAAAAAAAATCATAGAGCAATATAAATTATGAACATAGATATAAAATTTCTAAATCAAATACTAGCTCGAGCTTATCAACTATAAAATTGTATCAGAATAATATTATCAACCATGATCATTAGGTTTTTACTTGGGGAATTAACTACTACTTTCACATAGGAAAATATCTTACATCTCAGTCAACACAAATTGTATTTAGTGTTCAAACTCTATAAGCATTCCCTTTAAAATCAAGAATAAGAGAAGGATACATGCAAACACTGCTATTATTGCCTAGAGATCCTCAGCTATTGTATAAGACAAGAAAAAAGCTACAGACATAACTTAGGAAGAAACACTATTGGTTTGCAGATCATATGACCATGTGTATAGGAAATCCAGGATAATCAAATGAAAAACTAGAACCAATAGCAAAAAAAGATTTCTTTCACAAGTGCATCAAAAAACATATCTAGGAATATCTAAGACCTAGAGAAATTAAAACCACAAAATTATATTTAAGGACACAAAAGATTTGAATGAAAATTGATAAATGCACCACATTCCAAGATTTCCATTCTCCCCAAATTTATAAATTAATTTCAATGCAATCAAAATATAAACCCCAATGAGACATTTTCCCCCATTTTAGAACTTGAAGATAGGCTAATTTCTTTTTCTTTCTTTCTTTTTTTTTTCTTTTTCCCTTTTAAATAGATGGGGTGTCTCACTATGTTGCCCAGGCTGGAGTACAGTGGCTAGCCACAGGCACGATCACAGCACACCATACAGCCCCAAACTCTTGGGAGCAAGTGATCCTCCTGCCTCAGCCTCCCAAGTAGCTGGGATTTTGAAGTAAACAGAAAAGCTCTTTCTTTTGAGAAAGTAGAATAATGAAAGCATACTGGCTTAAGAGGCATCTAAACATACCATTAAGTTTCTGGGTACAGACAAACAGACCAAAGCAACAAAATAGGTACAGTAGTTGAGTAACAGATCTGGACTCATATCTATGTTTAGAATATGACATAGCTGGCACATCAAATCAATAGGAAAAAATGCAAAATGTATACCCAAAACACTGTGTTGACATCCACAATATAAAATAATTATAATTCAGTTAAAAAAGACAACAACTAGTTAAAACAAAACAAACAAAAAACCAAGCTATTCACAGAAGGAACCTGAATGTCCCATAAACATGAAAAGTTACTCAACCTGAACCAAAAATCAAATAAATACAAATACTACAGGCTTGCAATGAAGCACCCAGCTGTTTTTTTTTTCCTGTTTTTTTGGTAGAGACGGGGTCTCGCTCTTGGTCAGGCTAGTCTCCTGAGCTCAAGCAATATTTCCCACCTCGGCTCCCACAGTGCTAGGATTACAGGCGTGAGCTCCTGCACCAGCTCAAATAAATACCAAATTAAACAATATCTAGTGCTTATTAACAGCATGGGAAAATCAGCCTGTCTAAGCCAATTATTTGGTGCAAAGAATTGTTTTGGTATAATTAAGTATATAAGGATATATAATTTTTACACACACAACACACACACACTTTTTTGGCAACAATTTGTAAAAGCAACATAATAGTATCTCTGCAAGAAGGCTGTTCAGTGTGGGGGAGTAACAGAATGGGAACTATTCCAATGTCCATCAATGGAACAATGGTTAAATAAATGTAGGATTTACATACTTCAAAGAAGGGATGTGTGTAAATGACAACCCACTAAGGCACAGAAAGAAAATTTTACATTTTTATCTCATCCTTTAAAATGTCTTTGTGCATGTTTCAAAATGTCCTAAATATGTACCAACAAAGGTACTTTTAAATGATTTAAAAATAGGTAAATATACATACACACATTAGTAGTACACGCTCAAGTTATTTTTTTACTGATGGAATGTACAATCAAAAAACTTTATAGTTATGAAATATTGTATACTACAAATTAGTAATTTATTAAAATGTAAATATACTATAAAAATTCCTATATGCATCGATATGAAAAGATAATGAAAATACATGGCTAAAGAAAAACATAATTTCATTTAAAAATACATTAATAATAATTTATGTAATATATGGAGAAGAAAACACTGATGGAATGTGCACCAACTGCTGTTGTCTTTCAGAGTCAGGATCATAGGGCGTGACTCCTTTCTGTTTCATGTACTTTTGCAACTAACTTATATGGTCAGAAGAAAAACTGCTTCAAAAGACCTCAAAGTTCTCAAAACTGCTGGAGGGCCATATAAAAGGATGCTCATCAGTTTAATTGATAATAATAAAAAATTAGAAACCATATAAATTTCTACTAATAAAGGATTATATAATAATGTTATACATAGTAGTGATGTATATAATATACATAAATAACTATGTATCTATAGAATGGAATAAGATCATCATTAAAAGCTGAGTTTTGAAGAACATGGGTAAAACACAAAAGGCACCTCAGTATGATCCTGAATTTGTAAAGACAAAAAAAAGAAAAAAAACTGGAAGAAATATGTACAATAAAATGGTAACAATAGTTATATCTAAGTCATAGAATTACAGGTAATTTTCATATTCTCTATACAATTAAAAGATTTTTAACTTTTTCTTGAGATACAATTTTTATACTATACATTTCACCTTTTAACCCATTTTAAGTGTACATTAAATAAATTTTAGTATGCCTGAGGCCCTACTGTAATAGTCTGACCTTTGAGGGTCTGGAGACTAAATAGCTAAGGTCAGTCACATGGGCACTGCCCACGTGTCTTGACCCCAAATAAAACCTTGACACTAAGGCTTGGTGGGCTTCCCTGGATGGCAGTACTTTGCACGTGTTGCCACACATTATTGCTGGAAGAATTAAATGTCCTCCCTACCCCGTGTGACTCCCCTGGAAGGAGACACCTGGACTCTTGTGCCTGATTTCTCATCCCATATGCCTTTGCTGATTTTAACCTAACAGTTTTTTTGAGCCTTCTGAGTCCTGGCCAATCATTAAGTCTGAGGGTGGTTTTAGGGTCCCGAATACATATTGACTGAAATAAGAGCCAATAAAATAAGAAGTCTGAATACACACAGAGGAATTTTTGTGAAGATTTATATCATGCCAATCTCAGTATATTTCAACAACATAAGAAAAAAACTGAAAATAAATTCTTTCAGGTTATCCTCAATGAACAAGTTTGCCATATTTCTACTGTTATTCAAGCTTATAACAGATTGATAATCAGAACTGTCAACTTCAAACTTACCAATGGGGACAAATGGTGCCTCCTTAGCTTTTCGGATAAGTTTGGATCCCTGATCTTCATCATATGAAGAAAGAGAAACATCTGTGTTGGTTGACATAGTGATTGCTTGAAGAATCTTCCTGAAAGAAAATTTCTATGAGGCTATGTAATTTAAAGCATCTAGAACATTATTAAATACCTGGATGTACTTAAAATATTCCTAATTTCCAGGAAAAACTTGGCATATGTTATCCATAAACTTTAAAAAATATTTTTAGAAATTAACTATATTTTTAACCTATGGACACCATTAGGAAGAACTGTATATATTTACTCCTACTTGCATTTTGCTATTTCTCCCACACAAATGACTCCCTTTTAGCACTATATTAATAAAAGCAGTGATATTAAAAAAATTGAAATGAATTTTATCAATTAAAATAGCAGCTAATAATTCTGTGGCTGTCTTCATCCTTAATGAACTTCAGCTTGGCAACTTTAAGTTACTCAAACCAAACTGATAATCCCCTTCAACATCACATGTTGGAAATCCTACTAAGCACTTTTTATAGTTAAGTGCAGTCATTATGGCTTTCAACAGCTGATTTATTCACTCCAATGTGCTACCTGGATTCAATTCTCACTCTGAATAGTTTCCAATCTATTACACTAATCTCTATTATTGTGGTGGTTGTCTTTGGGGAAAAGATTACCGTTATTCTGAATAGCCAAAATTTCTACCAAGCTCATTATGCCTTTTAAATAATGTCTACCATTTGATCCAGCAATTCCACTACTGGACATCTACCCAAAAGATCAAAAGTCACTTTATGAAAAAGACATCTGCACTCGAATGTTTATAGCAGCACAATTGTAAAGCTGTGGAAACAGCCCAAGTGTCCATCAATACATGAGTGGATTAATAAAATGTGGTATATGTATACCACGGAGTACTATTCAGCTTTAAGAAACAATGGTGATATAGCACCTCTTGTATATTCCTGGATACAGCTGAACCCATTCTACTAAGTGAAGTATCTCAAGAATGAAAACCAGCACCACATGTACTCATCAGCAAATTGGTATTAACGGATCAACACCTAAATGGACATATAGGAGTAACATTTATCGGGTGTAGGGAGGGTGGGAGGGGGGAGGAGGGGATGGGTATATACAACTACAATGAGTAAGATGTGCAACATTTGGGGGATGGACACGTTTGAAGCTCTTACTCGAGGGGGCAGGAGGGCATGGGAAATATATGTAACCTTAACACTTGTACCCCCATAATACGCTAAAATTAAAAAAAAAAAAGAAAAGAAATGCGTCCTTTATAGCCTTTTAGTTTATTTATGACCTAGGGCTATCATTTTTAATATCACTACAGCACAAAACTGAACTACTCTCAGGGCCACCTTCTTTTTTTTGAGACAGAGTCTCGCTCTGTCATCCCGCTGGAGTACAAAGACGTCATCATAGCTCACTGCTCCTGGGCTCAAGGATCTTCCTGCATCAGCCTTCCTCAGCCTCCGGAGTAGCTGGGACTATGGGTGCACGCCACACACCAGCTAATTTTTTTTTCTTCTTTTTTTTTTTTTTTGGTAGAGACTGTGGTTTCGCTATATTACCCACGCTGTCTGGAACTCCTGGAATAAAGTGATCCTCCCACCCTGACCTCCCAGAGTGTTAGGATTACAAACATGCGCCACCGCCACCGTGCCTGGGATGAATGAGTATCTTCTAAGCTTCAGATGCGCTTTCCTTTACATACTTTACATTCCCCAGGCTTCCTCTTAAAATTTTCTACCTTCTTATAATATTAATCCTTTAAATCCATGGTCATTAAACCCCTGTCGGCGGACCGGTACTGTTAGGGACCATGGCCACAGAGCCCTGCTGCCCGCCCAGTCCGCGGAAAAATTGTCTTCCATGCAACTTAGGAACAGGGGTAGAGGTGAGGTGGGGGGAGGCAAAGCTTCATCTGTACTTGCAGCTGCTCCTCCCCATGCGAGCTTCCGCCTCCTCCCACCCTCTCCACCGTCCTTGGAAAAATTGTTCCATGAAACCGGTCCCTGATGACAAAAAGATTGGGGAACCGCTGTTTCAAATGGTATCCAAAATGGCAAGATATCAGCCTGATAGTTACATGAATAAGAGGATAGAGGAAAAAAAGATTCATTTCCATTATCATAGGGAGCAAAGGCTCCTTTCTTCCTTTTTAGTCATCTCTCACAAGGGAAGTTAATATCCCTTTCATCACAATAAGGCACTAACAAATTCAATTTCACCTTAGTCACAATTACTATGTATACTTTCTTCTTCAATTTAACTATTTTGAATTGCCCATAAACTTTGCCCATAGATAAAAGGAAGTCAAACACAGTATACTGTATAAGTGCACAAATCTCTGATTAGTGTCAATTACAATAAACTTGAAAGTCAACTGCCCATCAGTCACCCATATAAAACCTGACCTTCACTTCTGCATTTTTCATGTGCATCATACTCCCTTTGATAAGAGCAGCTCTCATTCAACACTTTGCTATTCAAGGGAATTAGTGACAATTAAGGCCCTCAAAGAAAATGCAACTCTCAGAGGTGGGGAACTGTGGCTTCTTAGTTTGAAAAGTGAGTTCATCCCTCCAAACCCCACCCCACTGAAAAGTTAGTGCTGTCATCTTACAGAGAAGACAATCTTAGCTAGGTAGGAGAAAATTCAAATTAGAAATAGACCTTCTCTTCTTGTTTTGTATTCCATTATTTCCTAATTGAATAAACTACTTACTGGGCTTTTATTATATACAAGATTCAATAAGTTCAAGGTTCAGAATGCTCACTATATATTTGAAGAGATAAAATATAAACACTTTAATTAATGGTTCAAAAATTAGATAGTTTTTAAAAAGAGAGATGACAGAATGTGATTAATTGCCAATAGCACAACAGAGGAAATGAGGACTAAATTTAGAGGGAGTGAAGTCTTTTAGCTAAAGGAGGTTTGGTAAGTTTCAGAGAAACACTTGAGATTGGCTTTGAAGAAACTGTATAAATGGACTAGATGGAGAGATTAAACATTGTATTTATTATAGACTGGCACGTTTATTAGATGCCTTCATACGTAAACTTTTCAAAGATTTAACTGTGTTTATTACAAGTCCTCCTTTCACCTCCCTATCCCAACCCCACATTCTAACCACATTTTATTTCTTTTAGATGATCTCTATACCTCCAAACCTTTGCACATGCTGATTCCTCTGCTTATAACAGTTTTCCTCCCTTTCCATCCCCTTCAGATATTCTTTCCTAGCTAACTCCTCCCATTTGGGCTGGGGGGGTGTTCTATCTTAATTGACCTCCTCTGGGAAGTCTTTGATTCTCTAAATTTGTGATAAGTGCTTTGATTATGCAATCTTACAGGACCCTATATTTTCTCTATCAAACCCTTATAAGTACCTGTTTAATTGTCTGTTTCTTTTGCTAGACTCCCTGAAGTCAAGGGCCTATACCTGCCCTGCTCATATCGATCTCCATTTCCTGGTACAATACCCTGTATGTATTATAATAAGTTCATCACAAATGTTTGTTGAATAAATTTAAGTTATATTTCTCAACAATTGAAATTATTCTCAGGTAATCTATTTAGGAATATTTGGTGAAAAAAATAAAAATTATACACATTTGTTGAGTTTAATCAGTTAGTAAGAAAAATGCCAAACGATATGTACCTAAGTGTTTATTTCTTTTATAATTCTTACATCATACTTATGAAAGAAATAACCTTTCCTTTGCAGATATAAAAGCATGTTTTCTTCCTTTGCTTAAATTATTCCTAAACTAAAAAATCATTTGGGAATTGTCTTTAAAAGCAAGAAAGTCGATAGTTTTTCCTCTAATTATCTCACATCTGGATGACTATAAATATCCAACAGGTCAATGGCACAAAAGTGTGGGTTTTTTTTTTCCTTTTTCTGGGAGGGAGGCAGATGGCTGTTTCTCTCCTGTACATAAAAGAAGCACAGAAGAAAATCTTTCTCCATTCCTCACCTATGATACAGACTCTGAAGTTTGCGACACTTGACCTGGCTTTCTGAAAGTAGCTCCTGGAGTAAGAGGGTGTGGTGAATCAAGTTACCCTCATTGTGTGCTTGCTTTCTTTTTTTTTTTTTTGCTCAAGAAACTGAAATCTACATTGTGTGCTTTCAATGGCTAATGATAACCTGTCTCTGATCCAGAACACCTCCTGTGTACATTTCAGGATGAAATTAGCAAAGATGATCCCAGGTCACCCCAGAATTTAGAAAAAAAAATTAGTGAAGATGAATATTAAAAATCTAATACATATCAGTTGTTATTCTATAGTTCAGACTGTCTTTATATCATCTTGTAAATGATATAATTCTAACATACTATGTATCTAAAACACTCTCTGAATATAAAATTTTGAGAACTCTTTTCTAATTACCACCTAGAAGTTTCCCAAGTATTCATGATTTACAGTCATCTGAATTGAAGATAGTTAACTTTTCAATCATCAGGGCCAATAATCTTAACTCATATAATTAGAAAGTAACAAAGGAATCATATGATTAATCCATGCCAACAGCCTTATTTTACAGGTGGGGAAAGGGTTCTGTGGGATTGCTCAACACCAGGAATACATCTCTGGCAGGGTAGGATTAGAACCCAGCTCTCCTGATACACAGTCCAAGATTATTTTGATTGACAATACATTGCTAAATCATCAATCTTATGATGCTGGTGTAAATTTAATCTGAAAATATAAAAATGCATTACTTAACAGAAGCCCACATCACTCTTCGAATTTTAAAAAATATTGTCATGCTTAAAGTTAAATGGAAACTTCTCCAGTGACCTAACTCATCTAACAATTTCAATTGATTTGAAATTTTTTTCACTAGCACCACTGCTAGCTTTTCTTTATTATTGTTTTCTCATCCATCCACAGTGATTGCTGACCCAGATCTGTCAGAAAATTGAATAGATGCAAAAACAGGTACCAAGAACCAGATATTCAAAGTCAGTTTGGAGAACAAGAATTATTCTGTAAGCTTAGTAAGATACTATTTAAAGAACTTTCCAAATGCATGGGAACCTAAAAGAGATGTAAGGGAAAATGAACTGTTCAGCATCAGGTGATGTAATATAATAGACTGAAGGATCTTCACAGGTGTCATTTTGTCGCAGAAACTACTACCTAAAACAACAGTGTTTTCAAACTTTTGATTTTTGTATCAGTCACCCACCCCTCAGCCTGTTCAAAATGGCTGCCAAGGCCCCAGCCTGGAGATTGATTCAGATGGTCTAAGGCAGAGCCTAAGGAATCTGTACTTTAAGAAGCCCCTTTAAGAGATTCTGGTGCACAAGGAAGGAAGAGACCCGCTACTATACAGAATTCCAAATATGTGGGCCATGCGGGAGCATGGTACCACTTCAGCCTGTCAGAACTTTTCATCCACACCTGCTATACTGGAAGGTGCCTTGGCACTTCCGGAGGCACAGATTCCTGCAGTGGGGATTACTCCGAAGAGGGTAATAGCCACTTCCCACGCCGGAGTAAAGAAGACAAAGGCGAATAACACTGCTGAATCATTTCGGCTACTCTGAACTCCCACCACGCTTTGTAATCTGTAAACTGGCAGACTTGTCGGGGAGAAATTTCAATTCCTGCACAGATGCCTTACACAGGGCCCTAGGCCTACTTACAGTACAGGGCAGGGCAGTGTCGCAAAGAGTGGGAGAAAAAACCAGGTCGGGGAGAAAGGAAGACCAGGACTGGACGGCCCTCAGGTTTTACGCCCTCCCCTCAACCTCTCAACCTTCTCCCTTCTCTCTTCCTGTGACCTTGTCAGGACTCCGGCCACAGCGCTCGCTCCCCCCGTCCCGTCTCGTCCACCGCTCAGCCCCGCTCTCCAGAAGGCTCCAGGCTCGGGGTACGCCCCCGGCTCCCCGCTCCCCGAAGTCGGCCCCAGCAGCCCTACTGCCCCCGTCTCCCGTTGTCGCCCCATCAGCGAGCCTGCCCCTCTCTCAGCTCAACGACTCACTCCACGCGTTTCTGCTTCCTCTCCGCGCTGGCTCCGTCCCCCGGCCCCCGACAGGACCCGAGGCCTTGTTTCCCGACCCCTCACGTGCCCTGATCCTCGCGGTCCAGCCCCGGCCACTACAGGTCGCCCCCTTCATCCCAGGCATCACCTCCCTCCCAGCCCCGCGGCCCCCAACCCTCCCAAGGTCTTTCGGCCTGGCCAAGCCCTGCCCCGCTTCTTCCCGCATCACGGGGGTCGCAATATCCCCCAATGCCTCACTTACCCAGAGCGAGAAAACCCCTGACGGCCCCACTGGCTTTGACCCCGGCCCGAGCGCCCAATCCGCCCGGCTTCTCCCAGCAAGCCCCGCCCTCAGCCGTCCCAGCCAATCAGAAGCCGGGGGCCCGCACGCGTGGTTTGGTGCCGGTCGGGTGGGTGCGTGCGTGTGCGCGGTGGGTGGGGCGGCCCAGAGTGCGTCCCGGATTGGCTGGGGCGGCGCGCGCCGGCGGCAGGGGCGACACCTCTGGGTTCTGACGTGCAGATCGAGTGAGACGTGAGATCTGGGCGTCCAGGGTGCGTGCCAGGACGCTAGAGGGTCCGTGACCCTTGACCCCGGGGCACCTCAGATTAATTTAGCTCTTTTCCTCTGGGGCGGCAGGGACGAGCACCGCGAACGCCTTGCCCCGAGCGCCGGCCGCTTGCGGAACGCCGCGCAGGCTGGGAGGGGCTGGGACGAGGGGTTTCGAGTGCTGCCGGACCGCGGGAGGCGGCGGCTGAGGTGCGAGCCCGGGCTTGCCCTCCGGGGCGCCGACGGCGGGGGGACGGCTAAGCGCTGGAGCCCTTCCGCTCCGCTTGCGGATATCCGCCGTGGACGTGCGTTATCGGGTCTCCTGTGGGACCCTTCCTGGAGCTTACTCTCAGTGATAGGCAGCCTCTCACGGCAAGCACCGAGTCGGGTGAACTGTGACCTCACCCGGGCCCAGGAGGTTCCTCTGAGGAAGGAAGTAGCAGAGGCCCTTTGTGACAGCTAGCTTCCGGAGGCACAAGGCTCCTAATTTTTTCGTAAATAATCAGTAGCAGTTTGGCCAATTGATGCAAAGCATCAACTCCTGTGCCGTGGGCATATCTGTGACTAAATCAGAGTCTGTTAATATAACCACAAAACATGGCCGACTGCTGAGTACTCTATCATACAGGTGGAAACTGTCATGGGCTCAGGATTTTGAAAATCATTCGCCTCATAGTTGAATTAAGACACATGTAGGAAACATTTTGTGCTATGGATGATTAAAAACTCCATATTTTGATTATGTAGCTCCTTGAAGGCGTTTTGTTGTTGTCGTTTTTGTTTTGAGACAGGGTCTTGCTCTGTCACTGGGGCTAAAGTGCCACGGTGTCAGCTCACTGCAGTCTCAAACTCCAGGGCTTAAGTGATACTCCTGCCCTCACCCTCTTTAGTAGCGTGGGCTACAGGTATGTGCCACCACGCCCAGCCAATTTTTAAATTTTTTTGTAGAGATGGGTCTTGCTATGTTGCTTAGGCTAGAGAAAGCACGTGTTTTGTCTGGATGATCCTGGTATCTCCTTGAACACTTTGTGTTCAGTTCAAACTCAATAATGGTAAACGAAGAAAGGCATAACCACTGTACTAACTGGAGGCCTTAAAAGATTAAGTAGTAACTCATTTAGGATAAGCCCAACTGACTTTAATATGAAGGTAAACCAGAAGTCATTAGTCTCTTGATTCTGGAAATATAAAGGCTAACAGCAGCCATGACCAAATCATATTCATTCCTGAAAGGAATTTATTATACACATGAAAATAATGTTAGCTAACTTGCTAATTTCTAGATAATGAGATTTGGGGTCAGGCAGATGTGAGTGCAAATCTCAAGGTGGCAACATACTAGCCATGACATTGGGTTTAACTTCTCAAAACATTACTTTTTTCACTTGTAAAATGGAAGTAGCATTAGTGATGGTTATGAAGAAATACATGTTAGCCCAGTGCCTGGCATGAAAAGTGTTAGCTATTATTTTTTAAATTCCTGTGCAAAAAGAGGCAGACCTTGCCCTCAAGGTGTTTATGCAGTAAGCATAATAGGCAGTTATAAATCAATTACTATTGGACATGATGATGTCCAGTAAGGCGTAAAGGGTCACTGAGCTGCTAAGTAGCAGAGAGCTATGAATGTAAACTAGGAGTTTTGATTCTACATTTTTAGAGAGCATCCCTTAATAGCGGATAATTTTTAGAACATAGAAAAGGAAATGCATTTTTTTTTTTTTGAGACAGAGTCTCACTTTGTTGCCCCAGGTAGAGTGAGTGCCATGGCGTCAGCCTAGCTCACAGCAACCTCAAACTCCGGCTCAAGCGATCCTCCTGCCTCAGCCTCCCGAGTAGCTGGGACTACAGGCACGCGCCACATGCCGGCTAATTTTTTCTATATATGTTAGTTGCCAATTAATTTCTTTCTATTTATAGTAGAGACGGGGTCTCGCTCTTGCTCAGGCTGGTGTTCAAACTCTCGACCTGGAGCAATCCGCCCGCGTCGGCCTCCCAGAGAGCTAGGATTGCAGGCGTGAGCCACCGCGCCCGGCCGAAATGCATTTTTATACATAAACTGAACTCATTACTTATAATACTAAAACTTCTGGGATGACAGATCCACACAGGTAATTTAAAGAAAGTTAGATATGCTGGTAAACGAAGAAAGGCATAACCACTGTATGTGGAGGGCTTAACTGGAGGGCTTAAAAGATCAAGTAGTAACTCATTTAGGATGAGCCCAGCTGACTTCAATATGAATGTAAACCAGAAGTCATTAGTCTCTTGATTCTGGAAATATAAAGGCTAACAGCAGCCATGACCAAATCATATTCATTCCTGAAAGGAATTTATACACATCAAAATAATGTTAGCTAACTTGCTAATTTCCAGATAATGAGATTTGGGGTCAGGCAGATCTGAGTGCAAATCTCAAGGTGGCAACATACTAGCCATGACCTTGGATTTAACTTCTCAAAACATTACTTTTTTTCACTTGTAAAATGGAAGTAGCAGTAGTGATGGTTATGAAGAAATACATGTTAGCCCAGTGCCTGGCATGAAAAGTGTTAGCTATTATTTTTTAAATTCCTGTGCAAAAAGAGGCAGAACTTGCCCTCAAGGTGTTTATGCAGTAAGCATAATACGCACTTACAAATCAATTACTATTGGACATGATGATGTCCAATATCATGGACATCATATGTCCATGGTATGGGGACCTGCCTCATATCATGCTACAACAGAGAAATGCAGAGGAATACAACAGACAGGCCTTGCTAGGTTTTCCCACTCAGTCTATTACCATTAGCTCATACTGTTTTTTGTTCAATCACACTTCTACACAGCTGTCCCTACTTCATCAAATCTAAGCATAAATCAGATAGCCTTCCCTGTACCTTTAGGTCTTCACTCTTAAGGCTCCTGTGTCATGCCAAACTTTGATCAAATGTAGTAAATTTATTATACTTTTCTCTGATTAATCTGTCTTTTGTTATAGGAGCATCAGCTGTGACCCTTTATGATGGGAAAGAAAAGGATCACCCCTTTCCACCCTTATCTGCCTCTATCTCTGTTCATGTTTTCTCCCTTAACTCAAACTAACAGGACTGTTACACTTTTGTCAGAAAATGAACCTTTTTTTTCCTTCAAAATTCAACTGGTCAGACCAATAACAATTCTGTCAAGACCCTTTCTGGAACGGGGGTCTTATGACCCACTCTTAAACAGGGTACTTCAGAGAGTTTCTTTATGGCCAGCTCTTACACAGAAGGGTAGGGGAGGCCTAGAGTAATAATTTTAGGTTTTACGGCTGGTTTGAGGAAGGGGTTCTGGTTTCTATGATCCACCTTGGGGAAGAGGAATTCTAGTTTCTATGACTTGCCTTCTCATTCCCTGCCCTTGATGAAATTAATGGGTTGAATACAATTTCTTTCCCAAGTAGTCATATCTTCAAAGGATTGATTTATGAGAGAGACAAAGTATAAATGCTCAGTAAAGCTTTAAAACATGCATTCTATATTTTTTCTAAAGATTTATTCTGTATTAAATATTAAAACAGCCTTAAAGCTCATCTAGTCTACTTCCTTTCTTATTATGAGAATACAGATTTTGAGAACTTAGGTGGTTGTTTTAGATGACACAGGCAGAGTCTGAATAATTAATTGAGCCCTCCTGAGCACCAGTCCAGTGCTCCGTCTGCTTGCTTACCTCTCCAGGCCATGGGATCTGACCTCTTAGCATTGCAATGCAGCTTACAACTGGAAACCTGTAATAAAAGTGACTGGGTAATTTTCAGCTCCCTTTGGTTCTAATCCTAGATGTGATAAAGTGATTGATTTAAACAGTTATGTAATGTGAATAATGCTGCTAGTATTGTTGGAGTTGATTGAAATAAAGCTCTGTAATTAATTTTAGTTAGAATTAGGGCCATTGGGACAAAATATGAACAATGAAAGCAAGATAATTTGCAAATGAAAATTTGTCCAAGAGCTGTAGTATGGCCTTTTCTTGAGTTTTGTTTTGATCTATTTTTTAAATAAGCCTGTTACAGCATATAATATTAACTTAACTTTTTGGTTCGGTTTGCCCCACATTAGCTATCCTAGAAATACAGATTTAAGAATGTGTAACTCTAATATAATATACCTTTATTCTTTTCTACACCATGAACTTCACTGTTTGAGATTATAAAGACTCACAACTGCCATATTTGTTGGAAAGTTGTATTTTGTTTTTCAAGCTCTGACAATAAACAGAAGATGGAATTTGTTCCACAGTGAGGTATTTTTAAGTTTTCACAACATTATTAATGACCTCTGTCTGGGAAAATTAAATTCTCCTTGCAAATTAGAACAAGTTTCCACTTTACCCCAGCTTAATGTGATAACCAGGGACAACATCAGTTTGTGCCAGATTATTTGAGGTATTTTGTTTTTTTTGCCTATTTGTGTGAGAAATTGTCTCTGATTAGTATGTAGAAACCAAAATCTTGGTAAATGATGATGTTAAATATCTGAAAAATAATTAGATGATTCAAATTTTTTTTTAATGAATATTACTCTGCTACGCTTTTTTCCATATCATGTTACCAGAAAACAACAGTGGAAAATTTGCATCTTCTTTCATAGTACAGACAGTATAATTGGTAACAAATATGCAATGTGTATTTTTCCATTCTCCTTACTGTGTGTCATTTTGAAGTATGATTCATGCAGAAGACCTAAGACAATTATTTGGGATCTCAAATTTGAATCACCCCACCTGTAGTTTATAGAAAGACACGCATAGCACAAGAAGTGTCTGCCAGCTTTGCTTTCTTTCACTCTTCAGA